AAATGCAGTTCGATTTCGAGAGTTGGTTTGAAGAAAACCCGGGGAGAGTTTAGGTCTCAGAGGTGAAGCATCTGATTGAGTTAGGGTTTCAAAGAGATTTGACTGGATTTACATCTTGGTTTCGGAACGAGTATTCGGTAAGGAATTCAAAGAGGAAGACAATATTGAGAAATGAATCAAAAGGGAGATGGATGGTTACAGAGAGTGTGTGTGTGTAACTCAAGAGCTTGAATTCGGATTCGAGAACCGAATTTTGGGACGTTTATTTGGTAGTAAGGAATTAGGGATGACTGGAACGTCGGTTCAGATTGTCTAAGGGATTATTGACAATAGTCGAGTGGGATTTAAGAGAGAAATTTGAATACAAAGGTTCGAACTTCGAGAATTGTTTCAGTGAATCAAGGGGCGAGGTTAGGATTTACGAAGTGGATGCTCGGGCTAGATTGGTTTCAGGAATTCGACAAGATCTGTGGTCAGGGTTCTACAAGCGAAATCCGAATATAAGGATTCAAACTTCAAAACTATACTCGAAACTAAAATAGGGATTTGAGTTTGCTGAACTTGAGGTTTGCAATCACGGAACCTTCGCAAGAAGTGACCATAGATGATTTGAGTGCAAACTCAAATTTTTGAAGAACAAAAGGACTAGGATCATTTGAAGGGTAGTATCTCTGTAGAGGTTTAGAAATGAGAATTTGAATACAAGGATGAGACTAGTGAGGCTTTTGACATTAGGGAACTGAGACAAAGGAGATATTTAAATTGAGATCAAGTTTTCAAATATAAAGGAAATCAAAGAATTCGATATTTTTTTGTATAGGTTTGTACTTGGGAACTTGTAAGATTAATTGGGAAGCATTTGAAGTGGGAGGTGAGTCCAAATGTATGACCGGAGGAACAATATGAGGAGTCAAGGAAAGGACATCAAGATGGAAACTTGATATCTTTCGGGATGGGTTTGTATTTTGTGGGCTCAAGGAATTATTTAGACGGAATTTCAAACGGGAGCGAAATCTTGTGAGGTTGAATGTCAAATCGAAAACTCGGTATTTTTGGAATAGATTTGTGTTTGGGCTTGATGGACTATTTTGGCAGAGATCCAACAATGAGGGAAACAAGTCTCAAAAGTTGGGGTTCCACAAAAAAGAGTTGAATTTGGATCTGTGTTTTTGGGATTAGGAAAATTACTTGGCAGAGGATTTCAAAAGATGATAAAGCGATAGGTAGAGAAACTGCAAGGATAGGAGTTGAATGCAGATAACGCAACTCAACAAACATACTTGGAATGAGTCCAAGGAAGGTGGAGAGAGAGATGGTGGAATTTGAGAAATGCAGTTCGATTTCGAGAGTTGGTTTGAAGGAAACCCGGGGAGAGTTTAGGTCTCAGAGGTTAAGGACCTGATTGAGTTAGGGTTTTAAAGAGATTTGACTGGATTTACATCTTGGTGTCGGAACGAGTATTCGGGAAGGAATTCAAAGAGGAAGAAAATATTCAGAAATGAATCAAAAGGGAGATGGATGGTTAGAGAGAGAAAGTGTGTAACTCAAGAGCTTGAATTCGGATTCGAGAACCGAATTTTGGGACGTTTATTTGGTAGCAAGGAATTAGGGATGACTGGAACGTCGGTTCAGATTGTCTGTGGGATTATTGAACTTGGACAATTTCAGGGGAAATTGGTCGAGTGGGATTTGAGAGAGAAATTCGAATACAAAGGTTCAAACTTCGAGAATTGTTTCAGTGAATCAAGGGGTTAGGTTAGGATTTTTGAGGTGGATGCTCGGGCTAGATTGGTTTCAGGAATTCGACGAGATCTGTGGTTAGGGCTCTAGAAGCGAAATGCAAATATAAGGATTCGAACTTCAAAACGATCCTCGAAACGAAAACTGGGATTCGAGTTTGTTGAACTTGAGGTTTGCAATCACAGAACCTCCGCAAGAAGTCACCAGAGATGATTTGAGTGCGGACTCAAATTTTTGAAGAACAACAGAACTATGATCATTTGAAGGGTAATATCTCGGTAGAGGTTTAGAAAGGAGATTTTCAATACAAGGATGAGATTAGTTTTGGACAGGGATTTTTGAGACAATGAAGGCTTTTGACATTTGGGAATTGAGACAAAGGAGATATTTAAATGGAGATCAAGTTTAAAAATATAAAGGAAATCAAGGAATTCAATATTTTTTTGTATAGGTTTGTACTTGGGGACTTGTAAGATTATTTGGGAGGCATTTGAAGTGGGATGTGAGTCCAAATGTAATATACGACCCGAGGAACAATATGGGTAGTCAAGGAAAGGACATCAAGATGGAAACTTGATATCTTTTGAGATGGGTTTGTATTTTGGGGGTTAGGGAATAATTTAGACGGAATTTCAAAGGAGAGCGAAATCTTGCGAGGATGAATGTCAAATTGGGAACTCGGTATTTTTGGAATAGATTTGTGTTTGGACTATTTTGGCAGAGATCCAACAATGAAGGAAACAAGTCTCAAAAGTTGGGGTTCCACATAAAAGAGTTGAATTTGGATATGTGTTTTTGGAATTTGGAACAGATGCTTGGCAGAGGATTTCAAAGGATGATAGAGCGATAGGTAGGGAGATTGCAAGGATAAGAGTTGAATGCAGATAACGCAAATCAACAAACATACTTGGAATGAGTCCAAGGAAGGTGGAGAGAGAGATGGTGGAATTTGAGAAATGCAGTTCGATTTCGAGAGTTGGTTTGAAGGAAACCCAGGGAGAGTTTAGGTCTCAGAGGTGAAGCATCTGATTGAGTTAGGGTTTCAAAGAGATTTGACTGGATTTACATCTTGGTTTCAGAACGAGTATTCGATAAGGAATTCAAAGAGGAAGACAATATTGAGAAATGAATCAAAAGGGAGATGGATGGTTAGAGAGAGAGAGTGTGTGTGTGTGTAACTCAAGAGCTTGACTTCGGATTCGAGAACCGAATTTTGGGACATTTATTTGGTAGCAAGGAATTAGGGATGACTGGAACGTCGGTTCGGATTGTCTGAGGGATTATTGACAATAGTCGAGTGGGATTTAAGACAGAAATTCGAATACAAAGGTTGGAACTTCGAGAATTATTTCAGTGAATCAAGGGGCGATGTTAGGATTTACGAGGTGGATGCTCGGGCTAGATTGGTTTCAGGAATTCGACGAGATCTTTGGTCAGGGTTCTAGAAGCGAAATCCAAATACAAGGATTCGAACTTCAAAACTATACTTGAAACGAAAATAGGGATTCTAGTTTCTGAACTTGAGGTTTGCAATCATGGAACCTTCGCAAGAAGTGACCGGAGATGATTTGTGTGCAAACTCAAATTTTTGAAGAACAAAAGGACTAGGATCATTTGAAGGGTAGTATCTCTGTAGAGGTTTAGAAAAGAGAATTTGAATACAAGGATGAGATTAGTGAGGCTTTTGACATTAGGGATCTGAGACAAAGGAGATATTTAAATTGAGATCAAGTTTCCAAATATAAAAGAAATCAAGGAATTCGATATTTTTTGTATAGGTTTGTACTTGGGAACTTGTAAGATTATTTGGGAGGCATTTGAAGTGGGATGTGAGTCCAAATGTATGACTGGAGGAACAATATGGGGAGTCAAGGAAAGAACATCAAGATGGAAACATGATATCTTTCGGGATGGGTTTGTATTTTGTGGGCTCAACAAATTATTTAGACGGAATTTCAAAGGGGAGCGAAATCTTGTGAGGTTGAATGTCAAATCGGAAACTCGGTATTTTTGGAATAGATTTGTGTTTAGGCTTGATGGACTATTTTGGCAGATATCCAACAATGAAGGAAACAAGTCTCAAAAGTTGGGGTTCCACATAAAAGAGTTGAATTTGGATCTGTGTTTTTGAGATTTGAACAGATGCTTGGCAAAGGATTTCAAAGGATGATAGAGCGATAGGTAGAGAGATTGCAAGGATAGGAGTTGAAAGCAGATATCGCAAATCTACTTATTCGGAGCGAGTCAAAGGAAGGTGGAGAGAGAGATGGTGGAATTTAAGAAATGCAGTTCGATTTCGAGAGTTGGTTTGAAGGAAACCCGGGGAGAGTTTAGGTCTCAGAGGTGAAGCATCTGACTGATTTAGGGTTTCAAAGAGATTTGACTGGATTTACATCTTGGTGTTGGAACGAGTATTCGGGAAGGAATTCAAAGAGGAAGACAATATTCAGAAAGGAATCAAAAGGGAGATATGGTTAGAGAGTGTGTGTGTTTAACTCAAGAGCTTGAATTCGGTTTCGAGAACCGAATTTTGGGACGTTTATTTGGTAGCAAGGAAATAGGGATGACTGGAATGTCGGTTCAGATTGTCTGACGGATTATTGAACTTGGACAATTTCAGGGGAAATTGGTCGAGTGGGATTTAAGACAGAAATTCGAATACAAAGGTTCAAACTTCGAGAATTGTTTCAGTGAATCAAGGGGTTAGGTTAGGATTTTCGAGGTGGATGCTCGGGCTAGATTGGTTTCAGGAATTCGACGAGATCTGTGGTTAGGGCTCTAGAAGCGAAATGCAAATATAAGGATTCGATCTTCAAAACGATCCTCGAAACGAAAACTGGGATTCGAGTTTGCTGAACTTGAGGTTTGCAATCACGGAACCTTCGCAAGAAATGACCGGAGATGATTTGAGTGCGGACTCAAATTTTTTAAGAACAACAGGACTAGGATCATTTGAAGGGTAATATCTCGGTAGAGGTTTAGAAAGGAGATTTTGAATACAAGGATGAGATTAGTTTCGGACAGGGATTTTTGAGACAAGGGAGGCTTTTGACATTAGGGAATTGAGACAAAGGAGATATTTAAATTGAGTAATCAAAATTTCATAGGCAAGATTAAGTAACTAAAGCAAATGAAAAAAAGACAACCTCTGAATATGAAACTAAAGGACAATAGGTTATCAACGATTGTGAAAAGATGGATTATTTATTTAGCATTCCAAATTGATACTAGAATTGAAATCCCTTTCTGGGCATGCAGTCAACACAATTCATTCACAGCTCGTATTCTTCAGATTCAATGTGTAATTAAATTTCATGGGCAAAGATCAAGTCATGAAGAAGAAGACATACAGCAATTGTGGCTCGGCTAAGCCGGTGTGGTACTCCAGAAGATCGCTCCATAGTGGGCTCAGGGCAAGGCCCAAGGGTACACCGAGCAGCGTAGACGGCAGCGGCTGCTATCACCGATGTCATGTGCTCCAGCTGCATTGACAGAAAAAAGAATGGCACATTACAACAGATTGAAGATGTATAGCATCAGCAGAAGAACAACTGAAAATGGACTGTGCATGTTAGTTACCTCCTTGTCACCCAATGCAGCTTTCAGGTATCGAAGGATGAACATGTACATTGTCGGAACAGTCAGGTTCCACTGGAGCTTGTTAAGTATGGACTTCTCTGTGCTCAGAACCTGCTGCCTGCTGAAGGAGTTGTCTGATATGACAAGGAAGTCCTTAAACTACAATTATGGCAGCTCAACTGTAAGACAAGAAGCAAGCTGAACATCATGTGCAAATTGAACAGCATTGAACATAATAGCAAGCTGAACATCGTATGCAAATTGAGCAGCGCTGAACACAATAGCAAGCTGAACATCAAATGCAAAATTGAACAGCATCAGTGGAAGAATCCTTACCAATGGAGCCCAAGTCTCCTCATACTTGCAGGCTATCAACATGGCGCTTACTCCGACAAGCTGCAGCTCATTCCTGGCCACATTCTCCAGGGACAGGTACTGATCAATTATGTAGACAGTGAGGTACAGGGTCTCCGGCATCAGCATAAGCCTGTAGTGCACTTCGATGAGCCAATCAGTCAGGATTGCTCTCATTCTCTCGTTGATCTCGGTCTGTGACACCATGTAGGTGCAGAGAGGCCGGTAGGTGTTCTGGACGAATCAAGAAGCAAGAGTAATCAATCACTAATCACCAATTGATTTGGCATAAGCATAAAAGAAGAGGAAGCTAAGCTCACCTCAGTGCTCCTGTAGAATCTGTAGATATCTTCGACGTAATCAATCACTGCCAGCTCGTTGTGAGCATCAGATGCATCGATGTCGTATATCAGCTCCTTTTTCGGGCTGATCACACCGCCAGAAGCCTGTGTTCAGAACAAGTTCAGCAAAAGAAGAACAAAAAAGATTCTTCAGACAAAAATTCCTAACATTCGACAGAATCAAACAACACATACCCTGCTGCACTTGGTCAGAATCGAGGTGAGCGTTTGGATTGGTGCCCTCCGGGAGGCTGCTCTCTGGGCTGGACTTTTCTTCTGTTTCTCGGAGTCCGAACTGATCACGATGACTTCTGGCTTAGCCTTGTTGTTCTCGTTGCGCTGCTTGATTGGTTTCCTGCACTTGTCAGCTGCTGCTGGAGCCTTCTGGCGATTAACGACAGGCAGAGCAGCCCGGCCATTGACGAGATTACTGACGTCAGCGAGGGCTCGACGGATTCCTGGTGGTTGCTGAGCAACAACCGTTGTGATCTTTGGCCTCCTGACAATCTTGGCAGCGTCTGCACAAAGTCAAAATTTCAGATCAGGAACACATAAAGCACAGAATCGCCAAGGGAGAAATCTTGTACGGAAATTTAAGCTCAGACGAACAAGACGAAAGCACACGCATGATTCAAGCAGGCTACTAATATTACAGCTCAGAACAAGAAACGCGATTCATTAGGTGAAATGCAATTTTGGGAAGATGCCAGATTTATCCAAGCAAACCCAAAGAACAACGCAGAAACCATTTCTATGCCAAAATTGCGATCAATTCAAGAAATCTACCAACGCGACAAACATCTGCTTCCACTACGGGCGCATGCGTTCCGATCAAATTCTGGGACCAAAAAATAATCCACACATGAACAGGATTTTCAAAAGGCGCTCTATTTACGCCGAATCAGAACAAGAACCCGTATCAAATCCATACAATTTCACAATGAAGCGTCGATCGGACAAGAATCCGTAAAAGAACCCGCAAGAACACATCACCGATCCCAAGAATCCTAATCTCCAGCGACGGGAGAAACCTACGAACGCAAAGCAAGCACGCGACGTATCACCACCCTCAACCACAATAGCGGCAAGAAAACCCCTCCCCACCGCCGCAATGAAACCCCCACCAAACAAGAACACAGCAAAGAACGCGAGCTTTATCCCCCCGCAACCACAATCGCGGCAAGAAAAACCCCTCTGTAGGGGCAGCAAGAGGCTAAATGCAATTTTGGCCGACGGCGGCAGACGGCGCGGTCGACCCGCTGTCTACCACGTCAGCTTGCCGCCCACCTCTGGGGCAGCAAGGGGCTAAGTGCAATTTTAGCAGCCCATAAAGAGCTTGGGGCTCGTACTTTTTGCATTTGGGCCCCTTGCCACCCCACTAGAGGGCGGCAAGGGACCCAGATATAAAAATTACCCCCAAATGATTTTTCTATGTTATGTTAATAATAATTAAAGAAGTATTTATTGGTAAAACTTGTTAATATTGTTATAAAAATGTATTGAAGTTGGTTATTTCGCAATTTCATATGTTAAGTAAGGTATTATTTTGTAACTTATTCGACGTATTAGTACTTGGATAATTGATATAGGCCTATCGCAGTCTCGGTAGTAGAAACATTATATGGACTTAAACAAGGAGAATTATGTAACATGAAGAAATAGTAGTACAATTTGAATATGATACAACTATTTCCATTGCGGTTACATAGATGATATTAGATTCGAACTAGGAGGGAGGTAGTGCAATAGTTGAACACAACAACAATGTAGTAATGGGACAAGGAAGCATGACAGTAGAAATTTCAATATGCCAAGTTGTCCGATAATAGCTAACCCCTACGTGAGGATCCCTCTCCTCTCTCAAACCGCGCTTTATTAACCCTGTATTGCTCTGGTAGTTCAAGCTGCACAACACGGCTAGGTGGAGTTAGAACCCTTATGGTGTCTATCCATTCTCTGTATTGACATCTCCTTGGTGGTTCCTGGGAGGAAAGAATAGATGTGAAGCGAGCAAAGTTAGTAAATGTTGTCAGAAAATAAGGATTCATGTAATCAAAATATTCTTACCATGAAATCGTCGTCAAGAATATTTGGACAAACAAAGAACCTTCGACCCAATGTTGTAGGCTTTATGGAACGAAGAACCTGACAACGATCACCACACCTGCATCTTGAATGGGCTTCCCATGGAGGGAGTGCCGTAGTTAGCACCCGCCAGTCGCACTGTTGTTCACGACATTATCGTTCGTAAGCCGCTTTTCTCTGTAAGTATTGCTCAGTACTTTCGGATGCGAAATACCAGCGACCTTCTTGTAAACAAGTGGTTAGGTCGAGAACGGGATTTTCTGTATAGACCCACTCGATGTATGCACAAGCCGTAGTGCGGGTCTGCCGAATAGAGTAGTGTTACGAAGAATAAAACGATTGCCCATACGGAATGAATAAGCATATGCAGATAGTAAAATACCTCACGGTCATAGTTAGGGCACCTAAAAAAGTGTCTTCCTCGAATATCAGGATTCCTCGAAGCCATTAGTTGGCATCGATCACCGCATAGGCAGAGAGGACGCTGGCACCAAGGTGGTAGTAGGTATACACAAGGATCGCTACGCCAGTTCGGATCCTCAATGCCCAGGTGTCTAGCCATTGACGAAAGCCGGTAGGATTTGTAATGAAGCAAGTGGGGAAGAGAGTCCTGAATGTGACTGAGTTCTGAAAGATTGTGAGGCCTCGCTCGTTAAGGCGACTTATATAGGCACCAAAAATCGAGTGATATCCCTGACATGTGAACGTGGTGGGGCATGGTGGGTACGCCTGATTGGCGCCGAAAGTTACATGTCTGATTGGCGCCGAAAGTTACATTGGTCGTATGCGGCAAATGGCGGGCAAATACTCGTATCGCACGCGAATAAAGGAGGCTGCATCGGTGCAGCAAAAAGTAGTCATGCATGCGCCGAAAGGTATCGTGCACATATAACAACAACGTATTCATTACACAAGCATACAGTACTAGCATGTGAAGCAAATAAACAAAGAGAAGTCTGCTCTACTGGCCCTGCCCCGCGCCGCGACCATGCTTGGTCCTCCGGGCCTGTGCTCGCACGTGGTCCTGGGAGTAGGTGAAACGATCCGGTGGCACAGCACAGGTAGCACGATTGTCTGGCGGCGGAGTGGCCTGCGCCTGGTCCTACATCTGCACCGGCGTGCGCCTCCCAGCTGTGAGGGGCTGATGACGTCCTCTGTCAATCCTGAAGCGAAGTCGAAGTCAGTGATGTCGAAGAGCAAGGCGGAAGCCACCAAGTGGTCCAGTGGTGGACCCTGACTCGACGTGCCGGCTGCCTATGACGAAGTCCCGGTGTACTGCCAGAACTGCACTGAGTGTGAGGTCGACGCAGCTGCCTGAGACGCTGACCCTGCAGCCTGGGAGAAGTGGGCGGCCTGCGTCGTAGCGAACTGGGCGAAACCTACACATCAACAATGGGACCCTTGTAAGCTAAGACATAAAATGCATGTAAATTGATTGTCGAAGTACTGTTGTTTTTTTAAGTACCTGTGGGGGGCACAACAGAAGGCCTAGCCGAGGAAGGCGGGGTGCTGAATGGTGCACGAAACCCTGAAGCAATCGGATGAATCGGCTCACATAGATGTGCGAGGCATGTACAAAAAAATCCTTAAAAATACTTACCTCCATGCGGAGGGGGAGACGGCCTAGGAACGTGCGCAGCTGGACGGGGACCAGTCGGTACGGGTAGCCGCTGTACAGCTGTGTCTGCCCGAGCAATGTCGTCTGCACGACAGGTGAGCACTCGGAGAATCGAGCGCATCGACTCCACCATCCGTGTGTACGTTGCCAGGTGCTCCTCTACGGGTACCGGAATCCCCGCGCCTAAACGTTGGATCGTCATTGAACCGTCAACGACGACCCTGTTGATGTCGTCGACCTGCATGGTTAATTTATTCGTACATATTCGTAAAATTTGACGAAGAGAAAGATCTGAAAACATAAAGGAATGGTGCGATGCAGGGTACTCACAGCACGAGCGAAGTCCTGGTCGCGGTGCCTGGCGTAGAGCTCTCTAGTGCTCGCAACGTGGGCCTGCTGCTCCAAGGGAGCGAAGGTGACCCTAGTACGGGTGCGTGGCTGGTACCAGCGTAGGTAGCCCTGGTACGCCTCCTCAGTGTGTGGCTCTCCCTCGTGGTCCACGACCTCCTCGGTTGCGAGCAACCAGTCCTCAACAAAAGTCACCAACTTGGCGGGCCAGTTGCCAGCTGACTGTTGACCCTTGCGCGAGTACCTACGAATTAATGTGTCATATTAGTGTCAATCGACAGATGTTGCAAATTATTGTGGACAGGTAGATTGTAATGCAACAAATCAAAGCGTAGTGAAAGATCTTACCGGTGAACAGCAGCTGGGACGGTCGTCGGAAACGGTACTGGAAAGGGCTGACGGAAGCCGAACTGCCGCATCACGCGAAAAGGGGCGTGAGGCTCAACGCAGATGTCGAAGACCATCGGAACCGTAGTCATCCAGTACGCCTGGTCCCTTGTGCAGAGTGTGGACATACCCAATGGCACACGAGCCTGGGTAGCCGTGGCACTGTAGGGCTCCCACACGACGTCAGTCGGCTGAAGGCGGTCGAACTCCATAACAAACTCAGGATACGACCGCTTAACCTAGACGTGAGCCCATCGGCGCTGCAATACGAGACGATCGATGTGATGTACAATGAACTTAGCAATGAACTTAACAATAAGAGAAGATCGATGCAACGTACCTGACGACGGCACCACAGAGTACCCATCGTAGGGTAGTCGACCTCCGGTCGCTCCGCGCACAGTGACTCCTCGTATGCGTGCTGGTCCACCTCAGGGCGGCCGATCGCAATCCTCTCAGCTGCCCAAATAGAAAGAAAGAGAGGGCACCCACCAAAGGTCGCGCTGGGATCCGTCTTCGTGTAAACCTCACAAAGGCCACGGTACAGAGCCGCCAACAACGCGGAACCCCAGCTTCACTGAGGCACCTTGCCTACTGCGGCGTCGGCGATGCTCCTAGCGTAGTGCACGAGTCCCTTGTCGACGCGTGCCTGTGACCGCCACAGAAAATCACCCAGCCAAAAAGGCAGAGCAAGTACGCCTCCAAACAGCGGCTGTAGGAGTACTCGTCGGCCTCCGCCTGTAGCTGCTCGACCTGCAAGCGTTCGATAAAATGTTAGGCACCTTACCTTACGACTAAATATGTAGTATGCTTGTCATTTCGGTACAAAAACACTCACGGTGAACTGAAGCAGCCACCTCTTCGTAGGTCCGATGTTGCAGTGGTGTGCCAATGGCTGGAGCGGGAGATGTGGTGCGCGCTATACTGGTGCGAAACGTGCCGTCAGATCATCCTTCCAGTCCACACCCGTGGTCACTGGCCCAACATCGTCTCCCGTGAGCGGTAGCCCCAACAAGTACGATACGTCCTGTAGGGTAGGGTCTACCTCACCGCACGGCAAGTGAAAAGTGTGCGTCTCTGGCCTCCA